CAAGAGCAACGAAGGAAAATGCCTGGAGATCGAGGACGTCAAGCGGGCGTACTCGAGGTGCGTCGAAAATGAGATCTGTCCTGGTTTCGTTGGCTCTTCCCAAGAGTCGGCCATAATATTCCTTCAGAACATCGCAAAGGTCATCGAGGAATCGCCGGAAACAGAGGCGGGCGCCGACAATCTACACTACATTCGAGAGATGGTGGATCGTGCCTGCAAACTGTTTCGGGGAGGAGCGCGTGAAGAGCTGGAGACTCTAACCAACGATATCAGAGATGAGATCAGCAAGACCATCATCCTGAATGACGAGACATGGGAAGGGCTCAGATGCCGAATTTGTCCGTCATGCGCAACCGCAATTCCTACTTACTTCTGTATATGCCTGGAGTGTGAAGCGCAACTGATCTCGACTGGGAGGTTCTGCGTCAACATCGACTCCGATGATGATGATGATGATCATAAACCCAACGTGTCTGGAGATGCCAGACGGGCTCAGGAGGAAGCGAACGACAATGCGGCAGCGCAGGAAAAGGGTGGTGGAATGGAAGATGATCCCGAGGATGATGATATGGGCACACAAGAGGAAACATCCGGCTACGTGTCCGAGGAGGAGGACAACGCATGGAATTACCGCGACAATGACATGGCAGCACGGGATATCATCAACTCCCAAAGGATGGCAATCTGCATGGATGAGCCGCGTGAAGCTCAATACATGGCAGGGTTCATTGCGCTGCAGATGTCAAGGTTGTGGGGGATGTTCGAGGCTGGCGAGAAGAGAGCAAATGATGCCGCGCTCGAAGGGATTGCCTCGTGTCCATACCACAATAACTTGGGACACTATCCCAACATTACGGAGGACGATCGAGATGGTACCATTTTACCATCCACTGAACATAAGATTTCTCAATCTCATAATGTTCGGACAAGGACCTACAGGACGATCGGAGAGCGCACGCAATACATTCATTATTTGGCGTTCAAATGTGAGGGGCTGTACGTTTTCTACAAATTGTGGATTGCAGCAAAGATCCTCGACGTCACCAGGGATGAAATGAAGCTATTGGTCAGCGAACGCAAGCATCCAGTGGGGGACATCGTCTACAGATGCTTCTCCCTGGCATTCAACTGCAAATATATATCCTTTGCGAGGGCCGGGCTGAACCTTGGTGGGCATGGGTATGTGGTCAACGTGAGCGCTATTATTGCGGCCACTGACCCGGGCAAGTGCGACGGACCACTGCTTGACTGGTGTGTCCGGAAGGGGCGTTGGCTTACAGAGGAGCACCACAAGAAGTATGTTTGAGCACGAGAAGCCCAACACAATTTGGACGAGGAATTCCGTCGACGCATCACCAAGCTGGCCATTGTGGGCCGACCTACGTGATGCAGAAGTGGACCAACGTTGCACTTACGGCATGGTGCGGGCCAGTCCCCATCTATAGCCAGCAACATATTGATTTCACTACGATGGAATGAACTACGAAATGAAGTGATTCGTCCAATGAACATGATTATGTATGGATTTACATATTCCGACGGCTATGGCATTCCGGATATCCATGGATGTGCACTATTACCTCATGGATGACTCCGTTTCCTTCTATTTTCATGATATCTGGAATGGCTATTTTTGCATACATATTGCTCGCCATTTTATTTGCCGGTTATGTACGGGTGGCTTATGATCGCGCACTGCTCTGGATTTCTTTGGCCAACCCATTTCTATGGATGACAGCTGCGCGATGCGCAAATGCGGCAGCTGGGATATCCGATGGCTGTGTTGTGTGCAAGGCATAATGCCTCTGCCTCCGTGTATAGAGATGTATCACGATCTGCGGATGCATGTTTCGATTAAATCGAACCCGACTAGGTTTCACAATGAATGAACGGCGTTGCAGTAGAGAATGAAAGAATGTTCGACACAGTTTCGTAATCGGAGCCGTGGCCATTGGGACTTGTTGTGATGTTTGGACCGCATGATGAACAGTGCGACCCAAATGGGGGATGTTAAAACCCTCCTGGCCCCGTGCCTAAATTGGGAAGCCGTTCTGAGGTCCATGTTCTTGTTGATTGAAGTGTTCCATTGGACGCCACGTTTGGTTCTTGGCTCAAGTTACAAGTAGGGCTCAAGGTCTTGCATGAACAACGTTTGCCTGTGATCGATCTGTGTGAGAGAAAACAGGTTCAATCGCGCTGCTGATATCGGACGTGTGTGAGATTACTGGACAATACCCCCTTACAACAGTTTGCACTGGTTTGGCTATAACGGTTTGGGCCGTATACCCTTTCTACGTGGTTGAGTACATTCAGCTTGAGGCTCGGTGTACAGCGTCCCACGGGACGTCACCTTGCCATCTCTTGACGCAAGGTCGCCCCTGTCACGGACGCTCGTTCTGTGGGACGCCATGCAGAAGAGGGTCGAGGTTGATGTGGTGGCTAGAGAGAGAGAGTTGCGAGAATCTGAGATGGGTTCCTACGGAGACGCTCGCCAAGCGCTCGCACAGGCTGCGCGACGGGTGCAGGAAGTGGATGGCTTCACCGACGGTGGATCCTCGATCAGCTGAGACGGGCGGAGGCAACTCAGCCTGGCGACGCGGAACTGCGTTCAAACAAGAGAGAATTGTAGCATTTTTATTGGCATTCACTTCGTTTCGCATGTGTGCATGATATTTTGGGCATGCAGCCATAAGAGCGTGCTCCACTAGAGAATAATCGCACTTCAACCAGCTTTTTGCGTTTGAGCGCGTTCAAACACGTTAGACATGTTGAAACATGGCTGCTCATTCTCAGATGTGGGCTTCAAGCACATAAACTCTCGACTCAGTATGCAACCTTGGGAGGTGAACCTGAAGCTGGGCGACCTCACCCCGGCTGTCTACAATCATTGTAGTGGCCGAGGTCATGGTCATTTCAACTGCTTGGCACGCATGTTTGAAGCTCGAGGTGTGACAGGGGTACTGGCCTATGTGGATGTTTTGCTGGGCGCGAAAATCCCGGTGCTAGGCGATATTGGCAAGTGGGCGAGGATCTTGAGCTTTGAAGTTGCGGAGGAGGACAATTCCAGGGCCCTTGCCATGAACAAGGCCGGTGTCACCGTAGAGTACATTGGGGACAACCGAGCAGGAGGCCCCAAGTGTGGCAAGACCTTCTCTAATGTGAACTGCGTCCACTACGCAGGCAACCAGAATTATCGCGCCAATGTCCAGGACAACCACAAGGGAGACAGTTTTGACATTTACCGTAATCCCAGTGAACCACACGACCCCAGGGCCTTGTGCGTGAGGCGGGTTGATCGCTACAATGACAAATGGGGAATGAAATTGGAAATCGCCTGCAAGGTGGACAACGACCAGGGCGGGGACGGCGTGCTCATTCCGGTTGGGAACACCCACCATGAGTGGAAGTGCGTGATGCCCCCAGAGCCAGTGACCTGCCACACCTGGTCGGGGGACGTGGGCCACCGCCTGGGCTTCGATGCCACGGGCGACTCCTTCCAAATTTCGGAGAACGGTGGTCGCATTTGTGCCAACAAGGTGCACCGCCGCCGCGGCCGTGGCGGCCGGCGCCGGCGGCGCAACAACCACGGGTGGGGCATGAACCTGGTGCTCGAGTGCGACTCCAAGGGACACTACGTCGACTACCTGATCCAAGACATCAGGATTGGCTCGTCCAAGACCGGTTACCGGTGCATCCTGCCAACCCATGACTTGGAATGTGACCACGACGCCGGCGACGCCGTCAAGCGGGTGAACAACCACAGGAACACAGACACCTTCACGATTTGGAAGTCCCACACAAACCACCTCTGTGCCAGGCGCACGGACAAAAACGCAGGATGGGGCATGGACCTGCAGATCCAGTGCAAGCAGCGCAAGCAACTCTGGGGGAAGATGAAGGTGCAGATCGGTTCGAGCCACCACAACGAGAGGTGTGTGCCGGAGCCCAGCAAATATGTCCGGTGCGATGACTTGGTTGCCAACCGAGAGTACCGATTCACCCGGACTGAGAAAGGTGACAGCTTCTTTGTAGAGCAAAGGGACGGTCACGTTTGCGCCCGCCGCACCGACCATCATGAAGGTTGGGGCATGAACTTGGAGGTGGAGTGCAAGGTCGTGCAAGGTCTGAAGGTGCAGAGAATCGGCCCGTCAAAAAGGAGCGACTACCGGTGCGCCATGGTCACACATGCGCTCGAGTGCGACTGGGACGCTGGCAACCCTTACCGGCGGCCCTTCGAAACGCACCACGGAGACCACTTCATTGTCTGGATCTCGCACACGAAACATTTGTGCGCCCGGCGTTATGATGTCGTGGCAGGGTGGGGTATGAACCTGCGCGTTGAGTGCAAGGAGGGCGTCAAGCTCTGGGACATTCAGAAGGTGCACATCGGTGGAGCCCACTGGCATACGCGGAGAGCAACCAACGCGCACTGCGTCCCGGAGCCTTCCATGCCTGCGCTTCCGAAAGGCTGGGAGTGGAGGCTCCAGTGCGATAAAGAGGCTGCCGATCCGCAGTACCGTGACACTCACCAGCGCTCTGATGACCACTATGAGGTCTTCCAGGAGAATGGCAACGTATGCGTGCGCCGCCTCAACCCGCTTGGAATGGGCTGGGGAATGGACCTGACCATTAAGTGCAAATCATTCAAGGTTCCGGTGGCAGTCGTAAACATGCTCAAAAAGATCAGCAAGTGGAATTGGTTCAGGTGAGCCTGCAGCCGCCTTTGCCTGGAATAAAGTTATGCAACAGTCCGTGTCCGTGACTACGTTTTTCCCGCTGCACTGAGCGTTGAAACTTTTAGAATGTTTCTTTGTGCAGTCTACACCCATCAGGGTGAATCCCGGGTGTGAGCTCCAGGTCGTCCATGCTTCGGGTGCAAAAAGGCACGTACTCTGCCACCTTGGCTTCCCTGCTTGTAAAGTAGGCAATGAGCAGCTTGGTAACATGATGGCCAGGGAGGCAGATGTGCACTGACTTGTTGCGGTTCAACAGCTGCCCAGGCTAGCATCGTTCCTCAGAGCGTCCACGAGTGGCGGGGATGCACAACATGTGAAACAGGTGGCTGCGCAATGGCTTGTCTTGGAGGAAAACAAGTATGACAACGTGTGATGAGTTGTGTTTTCAGCACCAAGAAGTGTCTTTTGTTGGCTCCATGTTGCTATGACGCCTGCAAGAATGGCCATGAAAAAGGAGCGGACTCATCTCTTCTTGATGGGCTTCTGACCTTCTTTCTCTCCATTGCTGTGATGGCTGCATGAATGACAATGGCTACTGCCCATGTTGCTCCCACACCTGCTCGGAAAATGCTTCCGTGAGGATCACAGCTTTGAAGGCAGTGGACAGCCCGATTCTCATCGGGCGCGAGCGTGAGCTGATCATTGGCGATCGTCAGGATGCCAAGACAGCCAATGCCATCGACACCATCTTGAATCAGAAGGACGGGCTGGTAGGCAATTTTGTTGCTTGTTGGAACTGGCTTGACAGTTTGATTGCCTACTGAATGAACATTGGCCATCAACAACTCCACTGACACTGCATCCACATGGCGTTTGGCTAAGCACCTGGTTTGTCGAGATCCTCCGCAAGAACGTTTTCCGCAACACCTCAAACACGTAGATTCAAGTTGGGCTTTGGGCTTTGTGCATCCCGAAGAGCTGGACCAAAACGTGTTTGACTTGCAGGCTGTGCCGTGGCCGAGTACCGGGACAACGTTTTGCAGCAAGGCGCCGCATCAGTTGGTTTTCTATCATAGCCTTTGTTCAGCGGAGCGTGGCCTGTTGAGGGAAGCAAAGGCGCGACTTGCCGGATGATGATACTGAACGTGCGAGAGCAACTAGAGACCGCGCAAGGGGTGACAGCTAATTCCGAAGAGCTGCGCGCGGTTTATGTTGCAATGCTTCCTTGTGTAGCAGTGTAGCTGCCTCACGTCCGAGAAATCTGCGGATGTCGTTTGCATAGACTGTCCCATGCAGCTAGTTGTGAATGAGAACTCTCACATTGAAGAACTGATAACCTATGTGTGGAGAGAGGTCCAGATCCCTGCTGTGGCAAGGTCATTATTCTCCAAGTAGGCCGTGGCATATCGCACCTTGTCCAGCAAGTCATGGTCACATTTGCACTGCATTGTTTGTTGTGCCACATTTTTGCTAGCTCCATTCTCGAACCAACTTGTCATTACCTGCTGTTGGTGCATGCCTATTTGTTGACCAGCACATGCTCGGTGGCTCATGAAGGGGCCTGGGCCCAGCTTTTGCTCAACGGACTCCAGCGCAATTGCAATACGCCAGTCAACATGATAGCATCATCGGAAGTTGTCCTTGCGGGCTTATTTAATCTTCAGCTTGCCGATGCGCCGGCCGCCTTGCCAGTGATTGAGACCCAGGCGGGCGACGTGAGTGCTTACATCCCCACCAATGCCACTTGGCTGAACGGGAGAAAACCAGGCGGCTTTTTATGTTGGGCCATTGGCTTTGGCGTACAACTCTTACCACTCTTAGCAGGGCTTGGGTCATCTCCATTACGGATGGTCAGCTTTTCTTGAGACCGAGCTTTGCTATAAGGCGGGGGCCGATGCTTACTGCAGACACGCTGGAGGGCAGGATGTTTGGCTCCTCTGTGTGATTTCTCAACACTTGAGCGGCCTTTGAGGGGAGCGCTGGAGAATAAACACCCCGCCCCCACTCGGGTCACTTGCGAGGCCTTGAGACAAAGCTGCAGGTGCATGGAGTTGAGACCGGATTGTTTGGAAGCAGCGACCGACATGAGAAACAGCCCCCCTAACCCGCAACTCAACACCTCCCCAACGACAACGCTTTGCATGAGTTGGCAGAATGTTTACCAAGAAGATGGGGTCCATGAATGCCCCATTGCGTATTAGGGACAGGGGGTGGGATGGTTCTGCACTTGGTCCTTTGGCGTCTAACATCGATGGTGTGGCGTATGCGATCCAACAACCGTGAGATCGAGGCGGCACAAGTGATCAAATGTGATTCTGCAGGTTTTTCTGGCCCGTCGATGAAAGTGAGCAACACATGCTTCTCTCCGGGACGTAACTCCAAAAGTTGGGGGGTGCAAATGATTCTCCCTCCCCCCTCGAAGTGTTCTTGTTTGCTTGGAGGCTTCTGCTGTTTTGTTCTTCAAGAGTTCCCCTATTCAGGCGTGCTCTCATTGATGTGACTCCTGACTCGGTTCTCTTTCGTTCTGGAACGATTGGCCCGGTGCTGTTTCCAGCACAAACACTACGGGATATTTTGCGTTGAATCATCTCGGCTGCTTTTCCCCAAACAGCTTAGTTGTTGGGGTCCTCTATTAATGTGAAGAGTAGCTCCCAGTTTTGAGATGGCTTGACCCTTCTGTCTCCCCATATGTCTCCCCACCTGTCTCCCAGCTTGTGCACGGCTTGTCTCCCCACTTGTCTCCCCACTTGTCTCCCTGCTTGTGTGCTTGGGCTCGGGCCACTGGCCGGGATCTCCCTGCTTGTGCCTTGTGGTCCGGACCTTGTCACCGTGTGGCTCCCCACCTGGTCCTGTGTCTTCACTTGTCTCCGCGCTTGTCTCTTAGCTTGTGCTTGCTGGCCAGGAACTTGTCAAGACTTGTTTCCCTGCTTGTCTTCCTGCTGTGCTTGCTCGCTTGGACCTCGTGATGGTTTGTCGTCCCACTTGTCTCCCCACTTGTCTCTTGTCGTCCCGTCATTCCCACATTCCTTCTGCTAGGCGATGACCTATATCCCGAGGGCTCGGAATTAGAGCAGCGTTTAATCATCAGAGGCATGTGAGGCGTCAGGCGCCATCGGGATATGTCTGGGTCAGAATTGGAGCGCCATTTTAAGCGCCATTCGTGTACGAGTGCAAGGTGAACATCACCCGGGATCTTGTCGTGGAGTAGCTCCATTTTAAATAGAGAGCGGGTCGCCGTGGGGCCTGGGTTGTGCAACTATGCTTTTTTGCGTGTTTTCAATGTTCTGGAAGCATTTGTACGCGCAGCTAGCACAAATGCACTGTTTTGAACTGGAGAAGCTCTTGCTTTGTGACATCATAAAGATTGAGCTAGCAGATTTGTACAAAACTGGCCAACCATGGAATTCAGCAGCATTCAAGTTGACATGGTTCAATCTCAGCAACAAGATACACACAGAAAGTATGAGCACTTGAGAAGATCAAACAGACAAGAAATGCTTCTTGGCCACTACAACCCTAGCTACATCTAGAGAAATCTATCCTACGTTCAGCGGGCAGCAGGTTTCTTGAAGCACGTGTACGGGGAGGAGTTGCCCTTGCGCTTGATGGATGCAAACCTGTTGAGGTAGCCCACCTTCTTGTTCTTCACAGACTGGTTACGCCACTTGCAGAAGACCAAGACCTTGAAGGAGTGTCTCTGGGGCCGCGTTTCGTTGAGACTGCGCGCGTAGTTGCGGAACCACGCGAAGACGTGCTCTGCAGCAAACGTGTTGGTCTTCTTGAACCGGCGGTGCAAGCGCTGGACGAAGTTGGGGTTGCACATCCCACATGATGTCAAAGAAGTGTTTCAAAGAAGTGGTTGCTTCACTCAGCCTTAACATCCAAAAGCAAGATTTGAAGAAAAAGGAATCAAGGAAACATACTCAAATATGCATATGCGAGAGATCAGCTTTGTAAAGAAAGCAAGGAAACGGCTTCAAAGGCAAAGTAACAAAGTAACGGGGGTCACGCTGCTCGAAGGAACTGGTCCTACAGGCACATGACTTGAGAGATCTCGCAAAATGAGATGGTCGGTCGCCTCCATGGCAGAAGCGAGAGTGAGATCTTCACCGTGCAAAGGCTGCGTGATGGTGACAGGAACGAACAGCAAGAGCAGGATGGGGGGACACTTGAGAAGTGCTAGCTGACATGGCAGCACACATACAGCAGACATGTTGTTTGGAATCCTTTGCTGGTGACGGGGACAGATGTGCTGCTCCTCAAAGAACCACGCGTTTTCCAAAAAAACAACAAAATTTCAGACCCTAAGTCAGACATGTTTGGGGCATAGGGTCTGTTTTTTCTTTTGTTTTGAAAACTCGAGTTTTTTTGCACTTGGCCAAAAAAACGTACAGAACCACGAGTTGATGACCCCTTCTGTTTAAATATCACTCGGATTTTAGTGATCAGTTGTAGATTTTGGGCGTCACTGCAAGTTTGCAGTTTACATGGCTGTGGGGCAGGGTGACCCGGATTTTTTTGCGTCATTTTAGTCGTCACCGGGCGCTCCTGATTGCCTCAACACAGTGTAAAACGCGAAGAGCAATAGGGCGCGCTGCCAGCCGTGGAAGGCATGTCCGAGTCAGGAAATCATAATCACCCAGAGATCGAGAATGGCATCAAGACATCCACGGAAAAATCATTTGGTTTGATTATGGCCGTGCTCCTGTGCTCCTTTCTTGCAAACATGCCTTCGGGAAACAAAAACAACACAAGAAACGACATGAGTTGACTGCACCGTGGCACGACCGACCCACAGGGGCCATAAATCCTGCTTGAACTTTTGTTGCTCTATAGGTTCACCCTGCGAGTTCAAGGGCCGCTCTTCGCAAAGGCCCGTGGGGGCTTGGATCTCCAAACCAGGCGTTTGCATCCGTACGGGTTCGACGTGGTCCAAGGGCTATGCATGTCGGCCAGGGTCTACAGGCGATGTTTGAGTGATTCAGTGGTTAGTAGTTTCGAGTTTTGAGTATTCGATTTGTCACTGCAGGAATATGCCACTCCATGAAGTCTATGAGTATGGGAAGGCAGCTTCAGGTGTCTCACACGCGTAGATCTGGGTTGACAACAGTTGGCATTTCTGTGCTGAACACAGGAAAGGGCGACCATGCTTTTTGCAGGAATTGAGTAGGAAGCTGAGGTGGCCTTTCTAATTTCTGAGTGCTTGATTTTATTCGCGCGGTGGCACTGGAAAATCGAGGTGTTGCAAGTGCAAGAGGAGGAGCATTTGCAAGGTGTGAGTTCCTTTCTTTCGCCTCATTCCCTTGAACTCCATCACATGTTTTTGCTGGCGTGGGGACATGCCCCAGAAACTTACCAAGCTAGCTATGATTGGCTTTCACGAGGTGTGCCGGGAAATTCTGAGAGCTTCAAATACCTACCTGGATGGTGATTTTGTTTCAGGATAGAACGATCTCACCCAGCAATTTGTGTTGTTCTTAAAGATCCTTTGTGTGCCAAGGCCGAGAAAAGATGGCAAGTGGTGCAGTAACGTATCGCTGACATTGTGGATCCAGCGTTGGTGCATTTGTGCAGCTTGCAGACTAGAAGACAGTGCCAGGCTCCTAGCGTGGAGCGCGACAGGGGGAGTTGACAAGTGTCATGCAGCGTGTAGCACAGCCCTGTAGATGGGGTTGACAAGTTGAGCGATAAAGATGTTTTTGGGGGCTTTCGCTGAGAAAAGCGTTGACTGTGTCGATGCTTGGTGAGGCCATGGCTCGATACTGCTGCGCCTGAACAGCACTCAGCGCCCTCGGAGCACGGCAGCTCCATGTGTCCGCACCCAGGCCCGGAGGGTGGGACGGCAGGGTGCGCCTGCGACGCCGGCCCCAGGCCAGCTGCAAAAGTGAGCCCGGCCGAGCTCACCAAGATCCGGAGCGAGCGAATCGCCAACTTCAAGGCGCTGGCGGTGTGTAGATTAGACAGAAGGAACGAATGTGGCTGCGGTCGAACAGTTCGGACAGCCATCGCCTTCCTTGTGCAGGAGCAGGCGGACGTGCAGAAGGTGGACCGTGTGCTCTCCGTGGGCGACGGCATCGCCCGTATCTGCGGCCTGAAGGGTGTGAAGGCTAGGTTCCAAACATGGCATGACATTTGTCAGAACTTTCAGCATGGCGCTATGGATTGTCCCAACCCAAACGTTTGGCAGGCATCGGCATCATACCTTGTGTTTGCTGGGCATGTTCGATTTTAGCAGAGTCTTAACAGATACACATCGGTTGGAGGATAGAATTTGCTTGTTGCCAGAGGTTTCTTCGCACAGCTGGATTCTGTCTGCTAGCTGTTCATTTGGCAGCCGGTCCCATTTCTCGCAGTTTGGCTTGCGTAGCTATGTTTGATGCCACAAAGCTGGGACCTGGGATGTTCACCGCACCCAGCGAGGCTGGAGAGATGGTGGAGTTCTCCAGCGGCCTCAAAGGCATGGCTCTCAACTTGGTGCCTCAGCGCACAGCTTCATTCGGGTTGGGTTTTGGTTTCTTATGGCTAATCCCACCCTACATGCAGCCAAATGAACCCGGAAGCCAACCCAAACCAACCTGGCTTAAGATATTCAGGCCGCCTTAGCCTGAAGACAACCTGGACTGACCCCAATCCAAGAATGAGTTCAGCCTGAACCTAAGTCAATCTATGCGTGTCTCGGCCAATTTTCAAAAATGATAGAAACACTGCGTTCTTTTTGGCATACACATCAGATGGTGTTCAAATGTGTGTAACTTGCACGCATGCCAGGGCCTTAGTCACCCTGAAACCTATCACTCAATTCAGCCCTAATTATCCCCCTCCACAACCTTTGCAGAATCAACCCTGACACAACCCTCAACCGTTTCAGCCCATCCAACCCTTTTCCAACTCCCACCCGCTGTATCATCGCCCCAGGCCAGGACCTCCGGAAGCATATCATGCTTCATTCCGATCAATTAGTTGCCGATTGGTTTGGAAGTCGGCGAGAAGTGTGTCTTGCAGCTGATGAGTTCATCATGGGTATTCCCTGTTCTCACATTGAAGCTGGTCCAGGTTGGCCGCTCTTTGGTTGAAGCCCAGTCGGGGAGTTCGCATGGGGTATGCTTTGGATTGGGTTTTGGGTCTAGGTTTGGTGTAGGAATGGTCAAGGATTGGTTCAAAGTGCCTTTTTTATCGCATCAGGAGACAGACAACGTCGGTGTCGTCGTTTTTGGAGATGACCGTGCCATCGTGGAAGGCTCTCCAATGTTGCTTCAACAATCTTCCATGAACGCTTGAGCACTGCATGACATGGAATGCCATAGCAATGCAATCTAGGTCTCGAGTAGCATGTGTCTACTCTTCTCGCAATTTCTAGGCATTGCTCGCCTGAACTTGCTATTGGGACTCTGCGAGAACACGACGCCCCATGCTCGCTGCATCAGGCGACAGTGTGAAGTGCACGGGAGCAATTGTCGATGTGCCGATTGGCGAGGAACTGCCAGAGCCCCAGTTCTTCACAGAGCCTTCCACACAAAACTAGTTATTGTGTTCAGACTTACAAACCGAGATCGTCCAAGGCTGGGCCGTGTGGTGGATGCCCTGGGCACACCTATTGATGGTGATGGACCCATCGCCACCAAGTCCAGGCGCCGAGTCGAGCTGAAGCGGGAGAGCGTGATCGTGCATCAGTGACACGTGACATGCGGCATTCGCATACTCAGGCTCAATTTGCAGCCGTCTGGCTTCAGATATCACATGTTTTCCGTTCCGTCGGGAACATGGCAAGAGCTCGCGTGCAACCGTTTGAAATGTGGCTCTTGCTTGCGCCTTTCCTGGTCAATGAAGTACTTTCATTCAAAGCTGTGGGCACTTCAGGTGCCCATGTTTCTTCTCTTCAGACGTCAGGTCTCCAGCTGAATGCCAGTGACATCACATCACAGGCATCAGAGGCGTCAGCCTCCTCAGCTGCTGAGAAGATCATGGAAGCTGTCGACAGCTGCTTGGGGCATCGCATGGTGGAGGCTGAGATGGATGATTGGAAGCTAGTGCGTCTCAACAAGGTGCGACGGGCGGAGATCATCACGCGCCTGGTGCGCGCCAACATCAGCGTGACAGAGTTCGGGAGCGAGTGGACGGATGATGTGGCCACCATCGAGGCGACCAAGTTTGCTGGCAGAGGAGATCGCCCACAAGGAGTTCGAGCAGTCGATCTCGCAGACCTTGTCAGGTTCCAACTTGAGCCAGGACGCTGTCAAGGAGTTCGCGGAGAAGATGGAGGAGATGGCCAAGATGTGGGAGGTTAGGGCCACGAGTTGGTGCAGGACGAGCTGAAGCTCCTGAAAGGCAACACGTCCCTGATGGAGTCCTCCATGGCCCACGAGCTTGCGGTCTACGTGGAGGAGCGGTGCCAGGCAGATGTGCTGGATGTGGACTTCTTCGTTGCCCGGTTGGGGGATGTGTCCGAGTGCAATGAGCTGATTGGTCTGTCCCTGATGGCCAAGGTTCGCAAGGAGGCCCAGAAGCTGGACTTCTACGCCAAGTCCACGCTGGTACTCCACACCGCGGGCCTGGGCAGCTCGGAGAGCGCCGCAGGTCAGGTGGGGCACCACTTTGTGAAGCTCTTGAAGGGCACAGGAGATGCTGCAGATGACACCTTCAGGGCACTGCTGCGAAACGCCACCCGCACAAGTGCAGATCACTTGCCTACCATGAGCCGCTTGCGGCTCCTGGATCTCAAGCACTTCGAGCATGTTCATGGCTTCACGGTGGAGAAGTACTGCCAAGTGAACACCGATTCCAAGGCTGCACAGTGGGTCGTTGACAGCCGTGAAATCCAGAATTATGTGGACTGCCTATGCCGGCGTCAACAACCTTCCCTGTTGTGCGATGCACAGCATGCTGAAGAGTTGGAGACAATTCGGCCTGTGGTCATGAAGCGTTTGCACCATGCGAAGGAGTCCTTGACAGAGGCGGCGTTGCTGGAAGTCGCTGAGAGGATGAAGTCCTCCATGGGTGTCGGCCTGGGGCCCTGTGGGGGGGAGAAGGGCATTGGCCTGGAGTGCAGCTTCTGCGTTTCGGGCCAGTGCATGGGGCATGGTGGGCTCTCCTTGGACGCGTTCTCCGTCTTGTCGACGCTGATCCACGGGCCAAGCTCGTGTGTGACAGGCGGTTGTTCGGCCTGTATGGGCGTCAAGCCGGCTGACCCGCTGATGTTCGTCTTGACCTTCGGCGTCTCCCAGTCCTGCAACAGCTTGGTCCCGGCCCCAGCTTCCCAGATTCCCAGAATCCCATCTTCCCAGCTTGGGTCTTGGGTGTTGGCTTTGTTGGGAAGGGGCATGCAGGGCTCAGGGCATGTCCTGGAACATGTCCTTGATTTGCTTGTCACGAAAGCGGCGTTGAGGCTGATACGTTCACAAGCTTCAACATCTTTGCATCTGTGGAGCTCTGCATTGGTGGAATTCTTGGCAGACTTGCAGATGCCATAGGCTGGGGCAGCTGTGCCAACCTGGCTACCATTGCGTACTATCCTTTCATCAACAAGATGCACATTGCGCTCTCCCTTCCGATTTTCATTCCTCCCCCGTTGGGGGTTTCGGCAGGGCTGGAGGCGGGGTCGGGTCAAAAAGTTCAAACATCAAGGTCTAAGCATCTTAAGTGTTTACACATGTCAACAGCCCTCACTGGTTATGGAATGTTTAAGCATTGTATTGTCTACATTTATGTCCAGCTTGAAGAAATTGCTTTTAAGCAATGCTGAAGCATTGTTGAGGCTTAGGGATGATTGTGCTTCAGTGAACCAAATGTTCCAACCTTGCCTTGGAGGTCTATTGTGAAATCGCACATTTGGTTTAGGCATTGTTGAGCGAAGTTTCAGGGCATCTTGTTTAATCAAATTTTAGAGTTTGCTTACACTTTGCCTTGGAGGCCCGGTCACAGGCCACGTGGTATTCCACATTTTGCTTGGACTGGCTGCGGGTCAGTAGGATTCGGACAATTTCACATGAGTTTTGATCACAGCTTCCAGCTTCCAGCTTCCAGATTTGCTAAATCTCCCACACACACACACACACACCCACCCACCCACCCACCCACCCACCCACCCACGCACGCACGCACGCACGCACGCACGCACGCACGCACGCACGCACGCACGCACGCACGCACGCACGCACGCACGCACGCAC